TCCTGCTGACGCCTGAGAGCAAAACCCATCAGAAAGTTAGAAGAGGAACCCACTGTAGATTCAAAACCGAAATGTCACCTTAACCTTTGCATTTCCTGATATCTTCAACCTTGATGAGCATCAGACCCGGAAAATAATTCCAAGTCCCAGAAAATTTCCCTCTCCCCCCCTCAAGAGTGATTTTCATGGAGATTTTTTTTTTTAAATTCTGACAGACAACAAGCTAAACCTTCACCATGGTAAAGGCATGTACTTGTGCTTTTAAAGCGTACCTCTAACTGAATCCTGACGGATATAAATCACATTTAAAACTCGTCAACGTAAGTTAAATGATGCATCATCAGGTCATGTATAAACAAGTCTGCCTACAGCAGGGAATCTTCTTGGAAAGAATGTCTGGAACCCTGTGTGCACTTTTAAAACTAACATTAACTTGAATCTGAAGTTCTTAACACTAGAATCACATTAGAGAACACAAAAATCTTAGTTTTGAGAAAACACGCATATAGAGACAACAGCACCATTAAAGAAAGTATAGATGGCATTGGCAAAACTATATCTTTTTGCAACTTCCATAACACAAACAAAACAACAAGCAGAATAAAAGTTTAAGTAAAATGATGAGAGATTAGAGTAATATAATCAGTGAAAGGAGGATGACTAGATATAGAGGGAAAAATAGTTTAGAAATTCAAGGTAAAAAATAAGACAACTCATGAATTGTGAACTGCAGAATGCAATGCATATATTTCTTGCGAACAAGATACTATCATACTAGTGCAAACAATCAATAATGAGAAAACAATTTCAGTGTCAACATAACAAAACAAAGTTAACCGAAAAGGAACCTTCAGTTCAAAACATTTTAACCAAAGCATTAATATTTGAAGAGTTGGGCAGGCCCAAAATTGGAAAATTCATACAAGACTCAGAAAGTAAATTAAATGAGCAGTAGAAAGAAGGAAAAACCTCTCAATATAGCACAGATATACTAAATTGGAATACCTTTTCCTCTCTTCTTCTTCTCTTCTAAGCTTTCCTCCCACATTCCTAGGTTCTGTTGCCCCAAGACTAAGAGTTGAAGACCTATGGTCCAGAGATAGAGAAGAACTCCTACTCCTTTGTCTTTTGCGATGTCTTGGAGTTTCAGAACGACGCCTGGAAGTAGGAGATCGACTCCTATGGCATCTCGGAGAAATAGAACGACTTTTTCGCCTGTACGCTCGGAATAGAATAAAAAAGAGCAGTAAGCAAAAGCTCAAACAGAATGAACTACCAACCACATAAAAACTAGGCATCAGGTAGCCAACCATTTCACATAGTAAAAACAAAAGTATATGGAGTTACCTCATACACTGTTAAGAATAACCAGCTCCAACTTTTACCAAATGAAGATGCTAATGTCACGATGGATCAATGAAAGAACATCAATCAACAATCCATCACCAGCTCACTTCCCCCCCCATACAACGGGAATAAACTGAGCTTTCGATAACTTAAAGAGCACGCATCCTCTTACTAACTACTTAGTCATGTTCTCATGATTTATATGCATCTTCTTTGCGACAGTACAGAGCCCACAAGTCTTCTTGCTTACACAGTCACCAACATAGTTATCACTATTGTTTTATAGAAAACCATATGAATTGACCAGGAGCACGCAAACACTATTGCCAACAAGAACGCTGAATGATGTAACAAACAGTATTCCATCTTACCATATATGTCTGGTTGCTAAGACTTACACCTCAGAAGATAAATCATATTTGTTCTTGCTATCACTTTCCACAGTGAACGCTATAGCCTAAAGTTGATGTTACGTTACCATAGTTCCAGAAATGAACACAATAAATGCTGCAGTGTCCGGGTTACTCGTCCCTTTTTGGATGAAAGATAGATGATTAAGAAACTGCTACAGGAAACCAGTAGCAAAGGATAAGATCCGTACATCTTTTCTGATCGGGAAGACACATATCTGAGTTCCACCAACCTTTCTTACAGTTTGTTCTGGGCATAAACCAAGCAACCAGCACAAAGAGATAGCACAGGAAATATACGGGATCACCTGCTATACGAATAAGATGAGTATGGAGAACGGCTCCTGTCCCTTCGGCTCCTCCTGCTATGCCTATCCCTTGCAGGAGACCGTGAGAATTTCCGACGACATGTAGGTGAACGAGACCTTGATAAGTCCCGAGGCATCTCTAACTGGCCCGATAGTATCTTGCTCTACTCGAGCTCAGTATCAATGCCTGAACTTCTAGGAAGCGTAGCCGCTTTTCTGCAAAATCAAGATTCAACACCTAAATAAATTTGGAAATTTTTTTGTGCAGCAACTCATAAAATCTGATCGCTTGTCATCAAAATTTTTTAGAGCAATGCAATAACTATATAAATCATGATTAAAATTTAGAAGTTTTCGGAGAATCACTGCACGAAAACAGGAACAACCTGCAGATTCAGACACGGTTTCAACCATGTTTCCAGGATCTCATCACAAAGATGGTTAACTCTAAGACAACGAATCCAATTTTCGTGCTTTCACATCTTCGGTCAGTTTCACCCGATTTTCCGAGAATTACGCAAAGAACATGAAAAAATTTGCCCCCAGAAAAATCGCAAGAATGCAGGAGAAAACCCTAGGTGGCAGAAAATCACATAGAATCCAAGCAAAACAATCGATTTTCCCAGGAAAAATCAGCTGAAACCATTAATCGCCAGAAATCGCTTACCAAGAATCAGCAACCGTCGTTGGCTCGCGTCAATACAGGGAAGAAGATTCAGAAGAACGCCGAGAGAAAAATCCAATACGCCACAATTTTCGTTCTCTCCAGATAAATCCGATTTTATTTATTTGGTCGACACGTCACACGACGATAGAAACTAGAAAGTCCCAAGACATGTGCTCGGGCTTATATTATATATGTGTGTATATATATATATATATATAAAAGGTAGGGCTAATATTTTCTGCTTTATATTTCGTATTATTTTCAGAAAAAAGGTCGTATTTTTTCATCCTTCGTGAATCTTCATTCTCTCTTCGCCGGTAAGCCTCCTGATGAACGTGACTTCTTCGTCCTTCCCCATCTTTATGAAATCGGAAAACTTTTCTGCTTTCTCCTGTTCGTCGATCTTATTTGAAGCTGCTTTTCTTGGTTTTCTGGTTTCGTAGAACTCGTAATTTGAGCTTCGTAGGAAAAAAATTCAGAAATTGGGGAGCGAATGGTAACAGACTACGATTAATAGTGAAGGTAGGGTGAGAATCTTTTAGGCTACATAACAAGATTTAAGGGTTTCTCTCCTTTGCTTCGATGTTTTGCTTCATAGATGGTGCTTTGATCTCGATGCTATATCTTGATGTGTTTCGCTTGTGTCTGAAATCTGTTGTTCTTCAGTCTTTCTGACGTTTGAGTTTGCAAGTGAAACCATGTCAGAAAATGTAATTGTTGCGCGAAATCATGCTCGGGGAATATGAAACTAAACGAACCCAAATGCACTCAACAAGGGTTTGCCTATGTAAATTTTCTTAGCTTAGTGTTTCCTATTGGTTGAACGATTAATGCTATCCAATTCTACGCCATTAACGAGTCTTCCCACAAGCTTCATTGTCCTTTAACTAGGAGATACTTTTTCTTGCAGTGATCTTTTTAGATTGGATAGCTTTTATGAGCTTCCACCAATCTCTACTTGTGGTTGTTCTGTCTACAGCCTGTACCGGTTAAGCATCATAGTACCGCAAGCTGATTTTGTAGGGAACCGACTCTTGATGTGTTGGTTGCCCTTCTTGCAGGAACAGTTTAGAGAATGGCGAAGTCTTGTAAGGGTCTTGCTGAGGAGCTTGTAAAGTGTCTCAGTGAATCAATTTGTGTTAAGGTAATTAATAATCTTTGCATACATGTATATGTGTACACATGGGGATATATCTATTCATCATCTTTTTTCCCTTTGTCTGCCTTAAACTAGATATTTTGGTGTAGGAGGAGAAACGATCATTTCGTGAATGCGCTGGAGAAAAGAGCCCATCAATATCGAGTGAGTGTGTCGGTCTAAGAGAAACGTATTTCAACTGTAAGAGAGGACAGGTATATTTCTCGTTCAATAACCCGTTTTGATTCTTGAATTGGTTCTTATGATATTTGAGATCATTTCAGACCTAATGGATGGATCATTATGTCCTGCTAGGTTGATATGAGAGCCAGGATTCGTGGAAACAAAGGGTACTGAGGGAAGAGAAACATATTTGAGGTCCGAACACCCAAAACTATCTCGGTTTTTTCCCGATGTCCAATCTGAATTCTCTCCTTAGCTTCATTGTTTTCGATCCTTTTTTATTTCTAATTTGCAGCTCATCTTGAAGAAGTATGCACCTTAACTCTCCGACCTTAAAAGAAACGTATTTACTTGTAGGGCGTGTTCGTGAAGAGATACAGCAAGATGAAGTCGAAAACTCCTTCAGGCAGCTTTTGTAAGAGAGAAATTTTGGTATCTCCACTCCAGTCATTGTTTCTTGTTCCCACAGACAGTTTTTTCTTTGGTCCCTCAAGAGAGGCTTTCACTCAGTGGTTAACTGCACATTTAGAACTACATAAGAGGACAAGAAAGGAAAGTTGCACTTAATAGCCATCTTTCACATTCGGGCAAATGCTGGGTTTTAATACGTAACTTTCTGAATTTTCTTAAGCATGATGTTTATTTAAGATAACAAGAGTGCAGCTTCAAGTATGATACTGAATTTGCTAAAACTCTCCATCTAAGCCCAAAGAAGAAGGAGAAAGAAAAGGAGGATTAAAAGTGTTGGGCATCTGACATGTTCCAAGGCTTTCTGTTCGGTAAGAAAAAATCAACCTTTGATTTGGTTGTTTCTCGGTACAGTGGGTCCCCAAGACACTGAAACAGACTTGGCTTTCAGCACTTGGGTCTTGGTTATGAATCAAATGGCTCAAAAAGAAGAAGCTTTACACTGTAAACCAATCAACCCTACTTCAAGAGTCAAGAAGTGCCTCTCTCAGTCTCAGATGCTCTCACATGATCCTCTCTGGGTAAAGCTCTGAATAGCATCTTGACCATCTCTCGGGCGAATGGTCGTCACTACTCTTAGACGAGATTGGGGTTTCAGCCCTTGCGTCCCTCACCATCTCCAACACCTCTCCGGCCGGTTTTCCGGATGAATGGCTACAAAGGCAGCCGCGATTCTCGAAAGAGCATGAAGTTTCTCCTCTGATGTTGGCTTGTCGCCTGATTCAGTCTCTTCTCTCATGGCATGAACCCATCTAGAGATATCTTCTGAACCATGTTCCTGGACAAGGTCTTGGCAAGGAGTTCTACCTGTTAGAAACTCCAGCAGGAGGACACCGAAGCTATAGACATCGGCAGGCAGTGTCGAGGCATTGCACGGTTCTCGACACACGGGAGCTCTGTAGAAAAGAGAGGCGGCACTTGTTTCCTCAACCGAGTCAGGATTATGGAGAGGGCTGAGCCCGTAATCCGTGAGGCAGGACTCGAAATCGGGGCCCAACAGAACGTTGGACGATTTCAAGTTCCCGTGGGTCAATCCAGGATTCTGGTGAATGTAAAGCAAGCATGCAGCCAAGTCCTCTGCTATTTTCAGACATGAAGTCCAGTGAAGTGGCTTCCTGCCACTAGAACCCCTTGTTCCTGCCAAAACGAGAGGTAAAGAGCCATTGAGTTTCCTGTTTTCATGGAGGTGAAGACAGATCCCTAGCTTATGTGCGAGCATGGAAACATTAAGACATGGTACCATGGATTAGAGAGAAGAGACTGCCATTGGGGAAGTAATCGTAGACGAGGAAACGTTCTTCTTTGGTCTGACAGTAAGCTTTCAAAGGCACCAGGAAACATTAAGACATGGTACCATGGATTAGAGAGAAGAGACTGCCATTGGGGAAGTAATCGTAGACGAGGAAACGTTCTTCTTTGGTCTGACAGTAAGCTTTCAAAGGCACCAGATTCTGATGTCTGAGCCGGCAGAGAATCTCGACATGTCTCATGAACTCCTCCATGGGAGGATTCCTTGAATCCTTGAGCCTCTTCACAATGACGATGAAACCAGACTCTATCACTGCCTTGTACGTGCTTCCTGTCGTCCCTCTCCCGAGTGTCTCTGCTGAAGCTCTTAGCAGATCTTCCATGGAGTATTTCACCACTGACTCCTCGGAATCACCATTTCCAAGGAATACCAGAGTGCCCGCTGAGTCGTCTTCTTCTCTCTCCCATGGAATATTATTGCTTTTCCGGTCATTTCCCTCTGTTCCGGCATCCTTGCTCCTTCCGCCGCCGCAACAGCTTTGCCTCTCCATCTCCGTCGCCGGAAGATTAGGAGAAGAATCGATAGGAGGATCAGAACTCCGCGGCGCAACCGGAGATGATTCTGATTCGCTTCAACTTGTTCCCTTTCGTCCGTAGTAGTTTGGAAGAGTTTGTCAACGGCGTCGGCATGATTCCGCCATTATTGTCGTCTTCCACGCATGGGTTTTGAATCTGATCTCCGCAGAGATCGACGTTGCCGAATAATGACAAAGTGCTGAACCGATTCAGCGCTCGTGTCTGCGGGATTCGACCAGAGAGACGATTGTTCGAGACATTGAAGAATCTGAGACTGGTCTGATTGAGAGGAGGGATCGAGCCCGTGAAGAGATTGTCTTCCAGGTGAAGCACATAAAGGCGGGAGAGACGGAGTAACGAGTTTGGGATCCGGCCGGAAAACCGGTTCCCGGCTAGAACAAATGTTTTCAGGCGGTGAAGATTCGTCAGAGACTCCGGGAACTCGCCGAAGAAGTTGTTGTTGTTGAGGTAAAGCGATTTGAGGCTCAACAATCGGGAGAGGAAGTTGCCTTTGAAGCTAAGAAGTAAGAACCCTAAGTTGGTCCAATTGGTTCACATTCTTCTCGTCTAGCGAACCAGTGAGGTTTAGGTATTCAAGAACAAGCTTCGAGACTCTTCCATTCATGCATCCTCTGACTCCTCTCCAGTTGCAGAGATCTGTTCCCCGCCGTGGAATGGAATTGGAAGGATCGATGGAAGATTTCAAACTCAGTAAAGCTTCCATGTCGCCGGAAGTCGCCCGAGAAATCAGTGAGAACAGTGTGGAAGAAACGAACGTGAGCATGAAGAGAGAGGAGGAAGAACAAGAACTGTAGTGCGATTATTCCATTGCCAAAAAACCCAACGGCGGTGATTGACTGATCAACCAAATCGGCAGATGGGCTCTCGCTTTTTCAGCTCAAGATTCAGTTTCCATTAGAACTGGCAAGAATCTCTGACCACAAAAGGCGTCACTTTCCATGATGGTTCACTTCCAAGATCTTTGAGTGTGATTCACCCAGATGATGATCAGAGCGAAAATGGCGTTTTCCGGCGAAATGGAAGAAACCCAGAAGAGAGGAGGGGGAGAAAGAAAGAGCCAATGGGAAGAAAGAAGAGGGCTTGTTTGATTGGAATCGGGAACGATGAACAGCGAATTTTCTCTCACTTTCTGGGCATATTTTCTCTCACTTTCTTGCTCGAGGAAAACTCACGGATACCACACGTGAAACTACTTCAGGGAGAAGTGAAATCAAAGTCTTTTCTCCTCTCCATGCTTTTCTTCAGTTGCATATCTGTGTATTAAACCCACCAAATCAAACCAGAGAACACAGACACCATTGATGTTTCATGAAACTAAATGACACAACCCTTTTTTATTATGAGAATCAAGAAACAGGAAAAGAAAGTTTCAATCTTTATGTTATTTATAAGAATATAAACGGCGTGGCCGGTCAGGATTTCAGCAGAAAGCATTGCATGAGAGGAATTATTGTTTTCATGTCACTTATTTTCCAAGTTGATAACTTTATTTGTTAAGTAATAATTTTAGTTTTTTTTAATTGAAAATTTTATTTGGTAAATAAAAAGGAGAGGAATCAGTATTCTAATTTTGCATAAAAATAGAATTTTTTTTTATTTATGAGATTCTACCTTAAAAGATTAATTAAAAAATACTGTTCACCGATTTATATTATGTAACAAATTTTATATTGGAAATTTTATAACAGAAATTTCCATCACGATAATGGTGCCACCCGCCACTACCACCTCTCTACACGCGACTCGTGCGTTTGCCGAGCCAAGAGGAAAGTGTTCCCTCTTCCCGGTGAATCTCTGAATCCCTGGCGACGTCAAAACCTGCGTGTGTTCAGAGCTGAATCACTGTCTTCCTCTCCATAGATCTTACCGGACACGACCATGGCCGCTTCTCTTCTCCTCTCGACATCTCCTCCCCTTCTCCTCTCTCCTCTCCGCCGCAGCTCCGCCGTAGTCCGCCGCGTCACGGCCTTTCCTCGTCCCTTCTCGCCGACCCACTTGTCTTCAACTCCGGTTTCAGATACCCTTTTGGTTTCACGGAGACTAGTTCGTCGTAGCTCTCTCCGCGACGAACCAGTCTCTTCGGAGAGCGAGAGTCCTCTTCAATTCGGTGAGGACTCGGCGAATTTTGAATTGGGGAAGCAGAAGATTCTTTCTTGGCTCTATTTCGGCGTCGTTTTGGGTGTTGTCCTCTTCGCCCTTGATGTTGTTTGGATCGATAATTCCACTGGTTTCGGAAAATTCTACGCAGACGCCGTATCCAGAGTCTCCGGCTCACCTGAGGTAATCGAAGAAATCTCAATGAAATGAAGTTCCCAAGCCTCTGAGCCTGTATTCGTTGATTTTATTCATTGCGAATCGAGTTGAATTTGAACAATTGCATCCCATAGAGATTTCACTACGAGTAGGTTGAACTGCAATATAGTGTTCTTGAGCTTAGTTTTCGGATTCCAACCATATGTTGCAGGTTGCTATGTTGGTCCTCATTCTCGTCTTTGCAACTGTACATAGCGGCTTGGCTAGTCTCCGCGATATCGGAGAGAAACTCATCGGGGAAAGAGCATTTCGTGTGCTGTTTGCAGGACTCTCTCTTCCTTTAGCTGTTAGCACCATTGTGAGTACTGACCCTCTCTACCTTTGATGATGTGAAAGGGTCTCGAGCCTATGAGAGAATCCCGTTTCTTGAATCGTATCGCTGTATAAACTTTTGGGTCGATGACATTTTCGAGCAGTTCATTCAAACCGAGATATTTCGTTTCATTTTCAGGTGTATTTTATAAATCATAGATACGACGGGTTGCAACTGTGGCAGCTTCAGGGTGTTCCTGGAGTTCATGAGGCTGTTTGGTTTTCGAACTTTGTATCGTTCTTTTTCCTCTATCCTTCGACCTTTAATCTTCTTGAGATTGCGGCTGTTGAGAAACCGAAGATGCATATTTGGGAGACTGGAATCATGAGAATCACTAGACATCCACAGGTATAAACCCTTAGCCTGTATAAGCATGTTTGGATCTCTTCATTGAGCTGTGTGTTTGTTCCTGTTTGGATTGAACTATGTTGTATCATGTAATAATCCTTTTGATCCTTACTTTTTTTCGGGCTACTTCATACAATGAAATCAACGAACCAGAGTGAAATTGATAGGTTTAATCTGACGAATCCTTTGTTAGCCTGAATCTTACACATGCTCAGAATCTTGAATTGCTAGACATCTACAGGTATAAACCATCACCTGAATATCTTGCATGAGCATGTTTGGATCTCTTCATTGTGCTGTGTTTTTTCCTGTTTGGATTGAAATTTGCTTCCTTTCGATCCTTACTTTTTTCGGGCTACTTCATACGATGAAATCGGGCGAAACCACAATGAAGTTGATAGATTTAATCTGATGAATCCTTGTTAGTTTGAATCTCATAAATGGGCAGAATCTTGAATAACTAGACATCCACATGTATACACCCCAGCGGCCTAGCCCGAATTCCTTGTATAAGCAGGTTTGGATATCTTCATCGAGCTGTCTGTCTTTTCTGTTTGGATTGAACTCCGTTGTATGATGCAATAATCCTTTCAATCCTTACTTTCTTCTGGCGATACGTTATAATCCGATGAACCCCCTTCCTTCTTGTAGCTTGAATCTTACACATGGGTATTTTCTATATTGAATATGTTTCTCTTGCGTTCTCATATTAGGAAACTGGGTTTTGTCTGAATCTGTTTCTCTTGCGATCTCATATTACGAAATGAAACTGGTTTTGGTTTTTGTCTGAACCTTTTGTCCAGATGGTCGGACAGACAATCTGGTGTTTGGCACACACGGTCTGGATCGGTAACACGGTAGCGGTGGCAGCTTCCTTCGGGTTGATCGCTCACCATCTGCTCGGGGTATGGAACGGAGACAGGAGACTAGCTAAAAGATTCGGGGAGGAGGCTTTCGAGAGCGTGAAGAAAAGGACGAGCGTGATTCCGTTTGCCGCCATCCTCGAGGGACGGCAGAAGTTGCCCCGAGATTACTACAGGGAATTCCTCCGGTTGCCGTATCTGACAATAACGGCGTTAACGCTCGGTGCATATTTCGCTCACCCGCTTATGCAGTCTTCAAGCTTCAGGCTCCATTGGTAGTAGCAGCAGCAGCAGCAGCAGTAAGTAGTCTTCTTTCTCGTATGGTACTGTGAGGGCTTCTGGCTTGTTCTCCTTACTCTTCTTCTTCTCCTCCACTTTGTGTGTTTTCATAGCGAGGGAAAAAAATATGTAAATTCATAAAATATTTGTAAATTCAGAAAATAATTTATTGATTTTTGTTACAACGCATGTTGATAGAACTACAAAATGCAATTGTCGCACCTAGTTTATCTGAATATTATTGTGGGTGAATAATTTTTTTAGGTTTTCTTTTCTCTGTGGAAATAAATAATTATGTCTTAAAGTTAAAGTTAGGGTTTGGTTTGGGTTTTTATATTTCATTTGGTTTATTTTATTTTTTTTATTAAAAAGGTTTTTATTAATAGAATATTTATTTTAAAAATTTATATATATATATATATATATATATATATATATGTATTTTATTAGGAATGGTTTATATTTGGTTAATAACCAAACAATCGAATTGACCTAAAATAACTATCATATAATTGTAATCGAATCAAGTTTGATTTAAAAATAAACAATTATGGTTTTTTTTAAAATTGAAAAAATGGAATTCAAATTGAATCGAGTAAAATCTATTTATTTATTTTCTTCTAAAAGTAAAAATTTTTACCAGTCGAATTTATAAAATTGAATACTTATAAATTTTTTAACCCAAAATAATCGAATAGAAATATAACCGTGTCGCACCAAATAAACCATCTGATTTTGTATATTCAATTTTTATTATTTTAATTTTTAAAAGTTATACTCATTCAATTTTTTTTATTAAATTCGATTTAAATATAACCATAAGGATGGATTTGAGTCGCAAACAGATTCAAAATGGCCAGTTGAAGCCCAATAAATAAAAGTTAGGAATAACAGACGAAAACAAAAGCAAAGACAATGATGAATGAATAAAGAGAGCTCCTGCAAACCAACGAACCAAACAAAACAGTCACTACCCACCAAAGGAAAAAGAAAGAGCGCTCTTTCCACTTCTTCTCTCCTTTTTCTCCCCTTCGTCGCCTTCTTCCTTTTCTGCGGCTTTCGAATTCGCATTCTCTCTGCCCCTCCGACGTCTTATTCTTCGTTTCTGTCTCGATTCGCCGGAGTTTCCTGTCTTTTCCAAGTTTTGGCGGTGTATTTCTCGGCATCCTCGTCTCTGATTGCGGCGCCTCCGGTGGGAGTTAGGGTTTTTTTTTGTCACCGGTGATTACTCTCAGTTGGATTCTTCATGCCCTTTTGAGTTTTTGGTTGGGTTTCGTGTGGGATTCGGAAGGGTTATTAAATCGAGCATGTTTGAGCATCGCTTATCATTCCAATCAGACGCCGGAAACAGCTCGCCGGTGATGATTCCGATGGAAAATTACTGCCCACCGAGCGGTGCCACGATTGGTGAAACTTTTCACGGGAATTCTGGTATGAAAACCATGAACACTACACCTGCGTTTTTCTCTGCTGGGAATTCTTCGTCCTCGGCTTCGGTTTCTGGTGTCCTTGATTCGGTTTCTGGGCTCAAACATGAAGCATCATCCGCTGTTGATTGGTCTGTTGAGGAGCAGTATTTGTTGGAGAAAGGCCTCGAAAAGTAAGTATCTTCTGTTGTGATCGTGTTCTTTTCATCGAAGTTGCAATCCTGTTTGGAACCATTGTATGGAAATTGTCTCGAAAAGCAATGGGCATATCTCCATATGGTGAACTATCTTAGCTGTAGTTCCAAAATTCATGGTAGAATAACAAGGATGCACCTTTGCATTTACCATGAACAATAGGGAAACATAGTATATGTCTACCATATCTTGTAAACTGGTTTCCTAGGAAAGCTGGCCGAAGTCCATTGGTGTTCATTTATAATTCCTTTTTGACTTGTCTTTTAACTTTCACTGGGTTTCCATTGTCTAAAGTTTTTTACTTGTATCGGTTCGCATATATGGAATCAAATCTTTGCCCTGCTCCTTGCAGATACAGAGATGAACCGAAGATTATGAAGTATATAAAGATCGCAGCATCTTTGCCGGACAAAACTGTACGGGACGTAGCATTGAGGTGCCGGTGGATGCAAGTAAGCTCCTAATGCCTTGTCATGTTCTCGATTAAGTTTCAGTGAGATGTCTGTTTGCTTGTCATTGTTTATGATGTCCAGTTAATGCACTTTTGCTTGCTAAGCGTAGAGAACAAAAATTACCATTAACCTAGACTTCTCAAGGGCTAATCTCTTCTAAACAATTGTTTCAGCCATTTTTATTGTTCCATTTTTCAAATGGTACGTGGAAATAGTGCTGGTAGGTTATTTCTTAAAGCATATGTTATGCAGGAGGGAAACCACCATGAGGATGCTATTTTGTGTGCATGCTTTATGATAAAGATAAAGCACTAAAGAAAATACTTTTTTGGATATTGTTTTTCATTGTAAGGTAGGTTATCAAATTATATTTATGAGAAGACACATGCCATATCCTAAAGCTTGTTTAAAAGGGTGGTATAGAGTGAGTGGTTAGAGAAATAATAAAAAAAAATGTTGGTGGTAGTGTTAGATTTCTATTAGCTCAGAAAGCCATGAATGTGGAGGGAGATGTTGGAAAGGACAGATCTAAAGCTTGATTTGATTTTTGTAGTTATCCAAAAATTGAATTTTTCCGATTTTTTTTTCACTAAACTTTTCTGAATTTTTAGAGTGTATTTTGTGATTCTATCTTCTCTGAAAGGTTATATACTTCTTTACGGGTGATTCCTAAGTTATGATGTAATAATAAATATTTCACGGTTGTCCATATGCCTTTCAACATACTAATAAATTAAGGCATGATTAAATGGAAAAGAGAAATAAAAAAGACAACTTACATAATATAATGCAAAATGTTATCAATCTTCACTCCACTGCCAGCATCTGTCCTTTTGTATCTGTTATATGGAGTTTGGAAGGAGAGTTAATTTATTAATTTACATTTTATGATTTAATTTTTCTAATCAGATTCAGCCGACAATAATTTTTCATTAGTAACCACTGTTCCAATGTTTTCGATTGTGATATGCGCCTTCAACCAGATATGCTATATTATCTTTTAAGTTTGTCTGAATCCATTTTCACAGAGAAAGCGAAGGAAAGGAGAAGAGCATAGTTCTGGCAAGAAGGTCAGCAATAGGAAGGTACGTTGACCTTCATGGACCTATGTTATATCTTCTTTGTAAATGATATAATTAAACAATGGATAGGTGACTCACTTGCATTAACTTATGAGATTTAATGTTCATTTAAAGCAAATTGAACCGTTCTGATATTATGGTTCTAGTCACACAGACAGTGCACTAACATCCCAAGATTTTTGATGTATGAATTTGGCATATCAATATGCCTTGAGCTTATTTATCAAAATGTATCTGAAAGGGCAGTCTTCTTCAGGATAAGGTGACGGATTCATCCCCTAAGCTGAACATGCTCTCTGATATGCCACAGCAAAATACTGCATCTGCTTCACTCATGAAAAATATGTGCCATAGCGGTCGCGTGCCTTACGAAGGTTAGTGCTAATTTAGGTCAAAGTATCGTTATCGTCTTATTCTTCTCTGTCATGGGGTGGGTACCGTCATACAGAAGGGATGCCACAGAAGACGTTTGTGTTGTGGTTAACTTAAAAGATATCATATCCTGCAAGATGATACTCTTTGCTGTCTTGAACTGAAACCACTCTTGTTGGACTATTTGTGAGCCATCTATTTTATGCCTGACCTGAAGCTAAGCAACTTTGCTTTCAGAAAGTTTCCTGCTCTTTTTCCTGAGTTCTGTTAAGTTACATAGTTGCCAAACTCGTTTGCAGATTTAAGTGGCATGACTATTGGTCTTCTACAAAAGAATGCTCAAGCTTTCAGTCAAATCTCTCACAACCTTTCTGTATGCAAGGTAATTTCTTCATAGGCGGGGGTCATTGTGGCTAAATTTGATTGAAAAGCTAGTCTAGTAAGAAGATTAATGCACTAAGAAGCCCCCAAAAGTATATTTCGGAATTTCATATGTGTAGTGTTTATTCTGATAGCAGCTTGATAATCTTGGTTTGCGGTACATCATTGCTGTTTTTTTTTTGTTTTGAAAATGATACAGCTACAGGATAATATCAATCTATTTTCTCAGGCAAGAAATAATATCACTGCCATCCTGACAGAGTATGTGGTATTCAACATATTGAAGTAACGCTAGTGAGACTTTTGTTTCTCCTCTTTTCCTTCTCTACGATTAAAGCACTGATATACACAAGTCTTAACTGCTGCAGCATGACGGAGATGCCCGGCATCATGAGTCGGATGCCGCCTCTACCCGTGTCAATTAACGAGGATATTGCAAGCGCTATCCTGATGAGCACAACACAAGTATGTTGTCTTGTCCCGTAATTTCTCTGAACCAGATATGGGGTTTTGGTTGAATAAGGCTCTAAATGACACGATGTTTCTTAACTATAATGGGTTCAAAAACCTCAGTTGCTATCAAGGAAGGCTACTGATGTATCAAAAGATGAATGGCAGAGTAGGAGAACTCTATACATTGATTGACCTCACATTATCAGAAAACCTTTCCTAACCTCAAAAGTCTTTGAACTTAGTGGCAAATACTTGATAGATTTATATGCACATTTGTGAAGTATCTATCTAATATATGATGTTAAATTGAAGGTTTCCTTTGTCGTACAGCCAAACACGTACAGTGTACCTGCGAGCATCCATCTGAAGCAGGAGCCACGGAGGTGACGGAGAAGGAAACTGAGTTTGAACCGACGCTAAATATTTAACACAAGAACCTGGTAAGAGGCGTGACTTTGAATAGAGTAAGTTGGTCTTCAGCTCCTAGAATGGGGTTTCGCCTTAGCCTCCTGGCTGTTGTGGAACCACGAGATTTGACAGTCCGGATATGATTGGAAACCTCGTACTCTCGGGATAATCTTGGCTGGACGTGGACGGGAAAGTTGCCCGGGGAAGGATTGCCCAAGGTTTTTTTTAGTTCGCTCTTTGCATCTCTAAACCATTCGTTTATATAGATGCAATATGCTTTGTTTGAGTTCGTAGCTCTGCTGTGATGTTAAGTGTTTTAGCCATGTTTTGATGGAAACTAGTAGGGTTTTGTTTTGTTGTGTCGAGTTCACGCTTTGTAACAGTATAAGCCATCATAGTAATAAAGATACTGTCTTCACTGACATCATCTCTACCTGTAACTTTCCTTGTGTTCCATTGTGTGTTGTATGTTGTATAGAAAAATGTTGCAGTTGGAGCCTAATCGCATACCAATTTTACGGGAAGAATAAATTCCATGAAGAATCATCTCGTGATGTTATATAATAACGAAGCCTCTTTAACTCAATAACAGAATAAATTCCATGAACAATCAGCTCGTGCTGTTTATTCTTGAAGACTAATCTCAGAGAACAACTCAAGTAACTTGCAAGCTATAACTTATTCTTCAACACACAGAGAGAGAGGTTTACGCAGAGGCTTTCCAAGAAGACAATGGTGGAGTTTCAGACTGCATGTAGGTAGGCATGCTGGACATGTACCTTTCCCCTTTCACGAAATCGGGTTGGGCAATGGCTTCGATCTCAGCCATCTCTTCCGGAGTGAGTTTCACCGATAACGCTCCAATGTTCTGGTTGAGGTTTTCGATCTTGGTGGTTCCCGGAATAGGGCACACATCATCTCCCTGTTGATGAACCCATGCCAGTGCTAGTTGCCCGGGAGTGCAACCTTTCTTTTCCGCCATGGCAGTTACCTTCTCGTAGAGAACCTTGTTGTGGTCCAAGTTTTCCGCTTGGAATCTCGGCAGATTCTGATACAGGGCCAAGAAGAAATGCATGGTGAGATGATTTTTGGATCATCACACTTCACACTCAAGCCTTAAAAAGTGAAAATGCAGTTCACTTGAGGTCACAGCCACTGAATGGTAAAAGGAAAGGCATTGTGAACACTTGTATAGAAAGGTTTAGAATCAATATCAGAGCCAGGTACTTGCCTTTCTAAAGTCGCCTTGCTCTAGCTTCTCAAGAAGCTTGGGTCCCGATGCAAAGAAGCCTCGTCCAAGAGGGCTGTAAGCAACAATCCCGATCCCAAGTTCCCTGATAAGAAAAGAGAAGACATGACAAAAACAGATCAGACATTTACAAAGGAAGGAGAAGGAGAGTCCAAAGGCAATTTCTTACCTGCAGGTAGGGATGATGTCTTCTTCCACGTCTCGTGACCACAAAGACCACTCCAACTGGACAGCGGTTATCGGATGAACAGCATGTGCTCTTCTGATAGTCGAGGCAGAAGCTTCTGATAAACCCACATACTTTATTTTACCCTCCTCGACCAGTTTCTTGAGTTCTCCCATCTTGGAAAAGACCAGCATTGATACTGCTAAGCTCAGAACACGCACAGACCAAAACAAAACAGCACAAGCCAAATACTTCATATCCAAGTTGTCTTCTTCAAGTTCAGACATGTCCTAAACCACATAATTTGATGCTCTAAAAGAACATTTCACAGCCTGAGATGACCAGATTACCGCTAAACTAACGTTCAATTCACCCAAAACGTAAAATGGTATGCATAATTTTGCGAGAAGGCTTTACCGTGATCTCAATCGGGACACGGATATCTATCCGATGCTGGTAATAAAGATCAATGCAGTCAACACCAAGACGTCTCAAGCTTGCCTCACAGGCAAACCTCACATATGCAGGATCTCCCTTTATCTCTCTTTTCCCTTCTGAATAACTGATTCCGAATTTGGTCGCCAATTCAACCTTCTCCCTCATCACATCCTTCAGAGCCTGAGAGATATCAACAACGAACTGATCATGAAGCTTCCCCTAAACATAAACCCTAACGCACATTTGGGCAAAGTAACTCCCTTGTACACCAAGCGAGGCCATTTTCCTACTCTAATTCCTCGTTCATCAACCAAGTAAACACCACAATCTTCCCAAATGCTCGAAAATCAACCGACTACGCATCTTGATCGTGAAATCGAAGTGAATATGAACGGTCGGAGAACTCGATTTCGAATCGAACCTTGCTAAGGAGAATCTCGTTGGTCTCGGGACCATAGATGTCGGAGGTGTCGAGGAAGGTGATGCCGGAGTTAATGGCGTGGTGAAGGACAGCGATGGCGTCGGATTCCGGCTTTGGAGCGCCGTAGAAGGCGGAGAGACCCATGCAACCAAGGCCCTGCGCAGAGACCTCAAGGCCCTGGCTTCCGAGCTTGATCCTCCGTACTCCACTGGCCGCCATGGATTCTCCCTCTCTAAGCTTTTTTCGCTCTCTCGTTTTGTGGTCTGTGATCGTTTCTGAGAAAAGGGGTCTGCTTTGAACACAATTTATAGAAGAAATTTCAGGAGCGGGGGAGGGGGAATGAGTGGCATAGTGCTTGGGGAGGAGGTGAAGAAAAAGACATGCCACGTCATCGCTGTGGTGGATGGAATCATAAATTCATAATGAAATATCATATGTCAGGGAAAAAATAAAAACGTAAAAAAAAATTATCAATTATCATTCTCGGGTAAACAAATGATAACTTTAGTACTAAATATTTTTAGTATATAAACTAAATCTAAAAACATCCAATGGAAACATAATAATTACTAATTTATAAAAGTTTGTCTAACAATATCCTACTGTAAATTTGTTAATTATAATTGAAATTAATAAATAATATAATAACTGAGGAAGAATCATGATTTATTCTCTATAAACTTAATATATTTTATTACTTATAATTTATTTAAAATAAAATATCATGACCATTCAAATTTATTATAATCTTTTTTTCGGTTATTGTTTCGAAATTGGTATTTATAAATAGATGGAACGTCGTTTTCTTTTTCCAAAATAAAAGATTAGGATTTCAATTCCATGAACCTTTTTTTCTGAAAATAAAACAAATCAGGTATTAAATATTCAGAATTATTTGGATAATTGAATTAGTAAAGTGATTTAATGAGATTTCAAAAGATCATATGGTTTTAGAGTTCATGATTTTTTTTAATGAAATGTGAATTGGAGTTCATGATTTTGTTTTCGTACAAAAAAAAATTGTGTTGATCCGTCATTGCTTACGTATGAATTTTTCGCTTTTTTTATTGTTTAATTTTTTTCATAACTTCAACGGTATTATTGAATACATGTTTTCTGATAGTCATATGATTACATTAGAATAAAAATTGAGTTGAGTTTTATTTTCCTATGAATGAATTTATTATTTTTACGGCGATAGTTAATTCACTGACTTGTCAAAATTATATGATACAAAAAAACTTACATTCATGGAATCTAAATCCATGAGATAGCTTTCTACCAAAATATATTTTCAATATACAGAAAAATATTTTATACGTGGCATATATATATAAATATGCAAACTTTTATACTTTCTTTGTTCCTTAGCTATTTTTATAATCTTATGAGCTTTTCTTTTTTTCAAAAAAAAAAAAATCATGGTGTTTCATCATTATCAAAGAAACATTGCAAATTAAAAATGATACTTATTTAGGTTGTTATAGATATACGGTTCTTAGTTTTAGTTTAAATTAGATTAACACCTTTTTAAAGATGAAAATGAATAAACTTAATTCCGAAAAACATGCTGAAACACCCATATCCATATAGTAATAATATATACAAAAACTGAGTTTGGGCCTCTCTAAAATAGGCCCATAAAAAAGGCCCAAAACAAACGAAAATCCCAGTGTGTGGAGATTAAGATATTCCCTAATAAAATTATTTAATTGTTTCCTAAAGGGAACTTAACGTGGTTTATAAATATGAGAGAAATTGCAATATATTTTAAAATTTTGTGGGAAATTTTGAAAATGTTTAAATTCTAGTGTAATTTTTTATCAAATTAAAAATTGATATAAAATATTAGAATATTGTTGAGAATTAGTAGGGAATACGGGACGTAAGAGTAGGGGTGGACGTTTCGGAAAACGGTTCGGGTTCGGGACGGGAATTGATCGGTTCATTTCTTTCGGTTTTACAAAAATAGATACCAATCGGTTTTTATATTGTATTCGGTTCGGTTCGGTTTCAGTATCGGTTCGGTTCGGTTCCGGGTTTTATTAAAAAATGATAGATTTAAAAATATTTGGTTTTTCGCGATTTTTAAAGTTCGGTTCGGTTCGGTTCGATTCGGTTCCGTTAAAATTCGGTTCTCTAAAAAATGGTACCGTTCGGGAATTAAGAACGGTTTCGAATCGGAAAAAATACCGTTTTTTCGGTGCGGTTCGGTCCGGTTCTGAAAAACCGAACCGAAATGTCCAACCCTACGTAAAAGTCTTAACAGTATCCACATCACATGGCTAAGAGGGGCATTATCAAAAATACCCTCCTATTTGCTATTTTGACTTTTTCAAGTGTTATCTTGTGATCAATATGATCCGAAATATAATTTTGGTCACATTAGTCATAACGTTAAATTTATGATGATCACACTCATTCACTATATTCATACCTTATATATCTCACTAATAATTTGATAAAAATATTAAAAATTTAATGTTATGACTAATGTGACCAAAATTATATTTCGAATTATAGAAGTCAAAATATGAAATATAGGGTATTTTTGATATAAAACCTGCTGACATGGCACCTTTATATAGGTACCGTGATTTGGCGATGACACATGTATTAATACACCACCGTTAATTGAATCAACTGTTGACTAACGATGTTAATGATTATAATAATGTAAAAGTATTGTCAAATTTTCGTGTATTTTTTAAGAAATTATATTATATATGAAAGATTTTAGAAAGTTAATTTTTTTTCGGCAATTTTGTGTGCAACCTTGAGCTTTTTTGTTTTTCAGATTTAAATGTCATATAATACTAATTTTCCCTAACGTTTTAAACTTTCTCACCTTTCTGATTTTTGTTGTATTTTTGTGCATTTTTATATGGTCGATGTTATTAATTTTTATTAAAAAATCCTACTTAAAAGTAGCATTATTTTTTCGTATATAAATAATATTTTTTTCATAGCTAAAATATCTTTAAAATCCAGCAGATTAGGTAACTAAAAGTTTGAAAATAAATATAAGTTATTTTTTTTTTAAAGTGTACTAATTTACAAATTTTTCTATTGTTTCTACTGCCATAATTGAGCTTAAAACCCGATTTTTATATTTGATACATGGACTTTTTAATAAAATTCCGACCAATTTCACGAGTGACAATGTTGTCAACCTATTAAAGAGCCGCCGCTCAAATCAATCCACACGAAGAGAAAATCGTAAAAGATACACATCATAAATTTTATGTTATTTATAATTTATAATTACAGATGAATTTGTTTTAATGTGTGAACAATAGAATATGCAAGTTCTCCTAGAATCAAAATAGACACCGAAATTACAGTAGTGACCATAAATTTAATTCAGAAAACAGAAAATCAAGATCACCAATAAAATTCAGAAACTATATTATATAAAATGATTATCAATATTTGTTTCTTGAAATTATACCAATTTTAATACTGAAACTTAATAAATGATAATTTTTATTTACAAAATTGAAAAAAAAATGTGAGCAGAACTACACTGTGGAGGTGAATGATTGAACAAGTGGGCGTCTCGAAGAGCCGAAAATATCTTTTTTTTTTTGTGAAGAGGAAAAACATTCGTAAAATATCAAAAGAAAAACAAAAAAAGGCCAAATCAACGGTGAGGAGATTCTAATTTAAGTATCCAAAAAAACAAAAGTGGGGTCCACAGGACCGTCCACACCGTATCTTTTCTCGCTCACACAAGTCCCACGACGCTGGTTCTCTTTTCCCTGTACCGTTCCTTCTACGTGATCGAATCGCGAGACGCCACGTGACATCGTCTTGGGATAAAGTGCCGTTTAGATTCACGTGGGAGTAAGAGCAAAGAGCAAGCAAACGAGTGAACGGAGGCGAGGAGAGCTTCGATCTCCAGTCACCTGAAAGTATCATCGACTCCGTGATTGTTCAGAATTCTTAGTGGATTTCTTTTGGTTGTTGGATTGATCCTGAGGTAATGCTTGTTTGTCTCTGAATTTTGACGATTCTTTTAGTTTTCTCAGTGATAATTCGATTTTTTTTTGTTTGCTTTGATTGTGTTCTCTTTACGGTGATTTGAGGGAAAATGGATGAAATTTTCCCTGTATCTGTTTGGTTGCCGAGAAAATGACGGAACAAGAGAAACTAGGCAATTCGATTCGAAAGCGTCATTCTGACGAACAACGGAAAAGTAGTGTAGTACAGCAGGACCCTCCTTGCGTGATTATCGTGTAGAATATGTGTCGCGGAGAATACTTGGCTTTGTTTGGTTGCTTAGGAAAAACCTGAGTGACGATTTTTTTTTCCTTTCTGATTTTGTTGCATTTGTTCCATTTTCTGAACCCTTCTCTTCAAAGTGAAATAGAAAAGACAGAAAAAGAAAAAAGTAAAAGTAAAAGTGAAAGTAGAACTTGTTTCGGATCTCCAGTCTGTTATCTGCTATTGACGGATTCTTCTTCTGAAACTGTTTGTGTTACTTGTTTCTTTTCATCCATACCAATCATGATTTTCGATTTCGTAGCTTTTTGTATGTATTTAATTATTGGTTTATATTTGATCTCTTGTTTAAGTTTCTTAATGTTAGTCTATACTGATTCGTGAAATTTTGCTTCAGAAAAAATAAGAGCATCAACAAAATATGAGTAATCCCGTGGCTCATAACTTACTGAACTTAAGTTTGATTCGTCCTGTGACATTCGAACATCAAAACAAGCTCAACTCGTCTTGTGCTCCCACAAATTCTATATATCAAGCTGCGTGGCCGAATCAGGCGGCTGGGAAGATCGGAAAATCTCAACTGGGTAAAGAGTTTTATGGAAAAGGTCTTAATAGGCCAAGGCAGAGATTAACCACTAAATCAAGTCGACCTGTTTCGGTTGTTCCACAAGCTGTACTTGCCATGGATCCTTCTTCTCAGGTAACGTTTCTTCTTATTCATGTTTGGACCTGCTTCTCTGGACTTTTTAGATATGCCATAGCCTACATAGAATTTTGGACTACAAGTAGCTTCATCCACATTTTGCTATGTAAATCATGCAAACATAGTCATCTTGGGCCTGAATGATATGTTGTTACGTGAAAGACGATGGTTCTACTTGCTTGCTTTTGATACACTCGTGAGGGAATTTTTTTTATTTAAACTATTACAAAAACTGCAATGATTGAAATTTTAGAATTTCATGAAGCGCGAACTGGGTTGGTCCTTTTTTAATTTCTTAAATGCTTGCGCTGATCAGCTTTATTGTTGAACAGGCTGCCGAAAAATTTAGCCTTGACGGAAATATTGAATTACAGGTTAGTACAGCTTTACAAATGGTGGATAAGACCTTGGGTTATTGTAGTCATTATGCTATGACAATTATGCTGCATTTGATTGAATAGGTTGAAGTCACTCCTACAACTATAAGACAAGTAAATATTCAGATTACGCATAGCAGTGAATCACTGCTTCTACACTGGGGTGCAATACGTGACAAAAAGGAGTATGTTCTTGTCAAACGATGTCTTACATACATACCTTCTAAATGGCTTTCTTACAGCTCTATTTCAAGAGCATAGCTTACTAGTTCTAAAATGGCTTGGCTTATCTTTTCCATTTTCTGCTATCAGAAAGTGGGTGTTTCCTTCTCGCTTTCCAGATGGAACAAAAAACTACAAGAACAGAGCACTTAGAACTCCCTTCTTGAAAGTGAGTATTTGAAATTCATACCTCAATGTAGGTCATGACATTTTTCTCATTAGTCAGAAATTTCCAACTAATTTTACCATAAATTGGTATTTTCACATGAGCTGGGTTCTCTTTTACAGTCTGGTGCCCATTCCTACCTTAAGTTAGAGATAGATGATCCTGCCATACAAGCTATAGAGTTTCTTATATTTGATGAAGCTCGAAATAAATGGTGAGCTACTTTACTCTTCTTTGTACTATTTGAATCAGAAAATGGAGCTACTCAGATTAGATTCATATTGTATTTATTTATTTTCTCTAATCTTGTGATAAGCAGGTTTAAAAATAATGGTCAGAATTTTCATATAAAATTACCTACGGAGCGATTTGGTACAAATGGTCAGAAGCTGGAACAGAATATTTCTGTTCCTGAAGACCTGGTACAAATTCAAGCATATATTAGATGGGAACGCAAGGGTAAACAAAATTACACTCCTGAGCAAGAGAAGGCATGTTCAGAGCTTCTCTCTCTTTGTCTTTGCGCTTTTGTATTTTCTTTTTAGTTCTCTATCTTTATGCTGTTGACAGATTTTGGTATGAGAAATCATCATTTCACTAAGCATATTTAGGATGTGATTGGTCATTATATCAAGCTTCTACCATTGTTTTACGTAACCTTTTTCTTATTTGTTGGAATGGGGTGGTATCCAATCCGTAGAGATAAATATGCTTGATTAGAATATGGGCGACGGGTTAGCTAGTTTGAACTTCCTCTTGATTTTCTACGTAACCATGACATATATTTCTATGAATCTATGATCAAAATCCGAATTGGATGTCACTACTGAATTAAATTCCAATCAGATTGGTTGGTACGGTTTCTTAAATAATTGGTGCTTTGTTTTCTGGTAAACTTGCGTAGAAGTTAGCTGCATTTATATCAAATACTTGAAATTTTGGATATGTCCAGGTCTTCAAAAAATTTCTTACATAATTGTTTTTATGCTCAAAAGGAGGAGTATGAAGCTGCTCGAATGGAGCTGCTGGAGGAAATAGCGAGAGGTGCTTCTGTGGAGGACCTTCGAGCAAAGCTGATGAAGAAAGATGATACTAGTGGCTCCAATGAAACTAAGGGGAATTCAGTTCACGGACAAAAGACTAAGATACCAGATGATCTTGTACAGATACAAGCATATATACGGTGGGAGAAGGCGGGTAAACCGACATATTCACCAGAGCAAGAACTCGTGAGTAATATCTGGCTGACCAAGTGAAAAATTTATTGTTTATTGTTTAGTTAAGCCCGATTTGTGGTATCTTGGCAGAGGGAATTTGAAGAAGCGAGGCTGGAGTTACTATCTGAATTGGAGAAAGGTGTGTCTCTTGATGATATACACAAAAAGATTGTCAAGGGGGAGATACAAACTAAAGTTTCCAAGCAGTTGAGGCAAAAAAAATATTTCAGTGTTGAGAAAATTCAGCGCAAGGCAAGGGACTTGAATCAGCTTATCTGCAAGCATACTGGTAAACTTGATGAACCAAAACCCTCACTCGAGCCACGGGCGTTGACTACTATTGAACTATATGCCAAAGCAAAGGAAGAACAGGAAACCACTCCTATCTTCTGCAAGAAACATTTCAAGCTTGGAAGCAATGAGATTTTGGTCAGTTAGGAGCACCTACCTTGTTTTCTTTTCTCTCTGCTTCTATTCAGTTCAAATATTCGAGCAGCAAGGCATCTTCTAACAGCAAGTCCATCTATTAAGGTTCTTGTGACTAAGCTTGCTGAGAAGATGAAAATTCAAATTGCAACGGATTTCCAAGAGCCGGTTACTGTTCACTGGGCTTTGTCTCAGAAGGGTGGAGAGTGGTTGGTAAGAGTTTTCAAAATTTTATTTCTAAAAGGTGGTTTTCTGACAAGACCATGCTCTGGAGTTGAGGCTGTTTCCTTATCATGTTTTTCTTGGTGGGTTTCGCATGAGTTTATAAGAATCATGGATATGGCAGGAGCCACCTTCAGCCATACTGCCACCAAATTCTGTACCAGTAAAGGGCGCTGTGGATACACAACTAACGGCTACTTCAGCTGATCTGCCTAGTCCAGTATGACTAGTGAAATCTAAAATATTATATATATATTTAAAGCCTTTGGATACAAAAATCATATGTAGGCCTCATATCTAACACGGATTGTAGGTTCAAACCCTTGAGCTGGAGATAGATGGTGATAGTTATAAAGGCATGCCGTTTGTTCTCAATGTTGGTGAACAGTGGATAAAAAACAATGGCTCTGATTTTTATGTGGATTTTGTTCAAGAAGCAAAGCAAGTTCAGAAGGTTCCTCTTCCTTCTTGGTCTTTTTTTTATAAAAGTTATACCATTTTTTATGGTGTATATTATATCCTTGAGTCCTAAATCGTAATGTTCCATTAAAAGGATGCTGGTGATGGCAAGGGTACGGCCAGGGTTTTATTGGACAAAATTGCGGAGATGGAAAGTGAGGCCCAGAAGTCTTTCATGCATCGGTTAGTTTTCTGCCGAATTAACTATTTTTTGGTCTTCTAGGTTAAAGAAGCTTACTATTGGAAGCTTGTTTCCAAAATTTTTGTCTCTTAAAGCCCCTTGTATGGAAAACCCAATTTCACTGTTAGATTTATTTTATTTGACCATCTGTGTTCATTTGCTTCCCTTGTGATGTCTGAGAGATACGAATATAGATATTACGACATTTTTGTGATAGAGTCAGAATATATGGTCACAAAATATACATATATTTTGTCTGATGTTCCATTTTTTCTTTTGCCTCAGGTTGCTTGTATATTCTGAGAAGAATACAGTATTACTTATGCAGTAAATCTTGCTTTCTCTATTTCTAGGTTCAACATTGCAGCAGATCTAGTGGATGAAGCAAAAAGTGCTGGTAAACTGGGCTTTGCAGGGCTTCTGGTCTGGATGAGATTTATGGCTATAAGACAGCTCGTGTGGAACAAAAACTACAACGTTAAGCCACGGTACGAATTAATGAATGGGGCAGTTCTGGATACTGTAGGATCATTTCCATTTCTTTTTATTCAGCTCCAATAGATCACCTATCCTCGACTTAAAATTCTGTAACCATCCAGCACCAAAATGTATCACGACCTACTGATCTGTCCTCTGTCATATGCAAAATAATTCCTCCATTTACTTGATTTTATTGCATTGTCACACTTATTGTCAATCGCAGTAGGTCTGGCTCATTACTTTCTCTTTGGTGCAGTGAGATTAGCAAAGCACAGGATAGGCTAACCGACATTCTCCAAGATGTATATGCAAATTATCCAGAGTACAGAGAACTTTTAAGGATGATAATGTCCACTGTTGGCCGAGGAGGTGAAGGAGATGTTGGGCAACGGATCCGAGACGAAATTCTAGTCATCCAGGTTGGTCTTATATGTCTTTAATGTCTCCAAAACCATTTTACTTCTGAATGAAAAACAAAGAGAAGAGGAAATAGGGGAAACAAGAGGGAAAGGTCATTAGCTTGTTGCTATCTAAGGTTAAATCATAGGCAGCTCATTTCACATGTAAGAGTTGGATCTTAGATAAAAAAATTGTGAAACAAATCCAGATGTCCCCCTGATTGCTCCTGATATATTTTTGGTCATTGGAAAGAAATTGAAGGGCTGACAACCGTAGATTACCTTGAATAGGACAGCGCCCAACATGCAGAAATGTCCTTCAAACCAAACCATATTTCTTTAGTTAGAAATCCAAGCTTCGCTTACCTTAAGCCTTTGGATCACACATGAGATGGAGGATTTCAGCTTTGAACTCCACGGTGCTTTATGTTAGACCGACTGAGTCCTTGTCGTATCGACTGATGTGTTCCATGGATTATGACTTGTGATCAAAAGAAAAACTCTCTTGATTGTTGATCAATAAGATTTCAGCAGTTTAATGAAAAGTGCACCAATGCTTAACTCGTAGGATTAGGTATAGAAAACCAAGAAAGAGGGGAGAAAAGGAGGATGATAGTAGAATAAGAAATATCCTAAAATTCGAAGAATTCGAGTTTTTGGTTCCTGATTCTGTGAAATCTGGACTTTCCTGCAACTTCCATTTTCATTTCAAACATAATAAGCGGCTCCTTTTTACTTTTAGAGGAACAATAACTGCAAGGGTGGGATTATGGAGGAATGGCATCAAAAGTTGCATAACAACACTAGTCCTGATGATGTCATCATCTGTCAGGTATTTGAACTTCACCTTATTTTCTTTGGGATTTAATCTTAGTCTTTCTTAACTGTTGCCATGTTGCAGGCACTGATTGATTACATAAAAAGTGATTTTGACATTAGTGTTTACTGGAAGACCTTGAATGACAACGGCATAACGAAAGAACGTCTCTTAAGTTATGATCGTGCCATACATTCTGAACCAGATTTTAAAAGGGACCAAAAGGAGGGTCTTCTGCGTGATCTTGGCCACTACATGAGGACTTTAAAGGTTAGTTGCAAAAATCTATGTTAGCCCCCTTTTGCATATTTCGTCCATACGATTGACTCCTCTACATGTAGATAATACCTAGAAATGCTGCAGTTTCCTTATCCAGTGAAACACCCTTTATTTGGTGTGATCGTATAGGGATAATCAGAATTTCTCGTAATGTATTCAGCTGCAACTTTGTTCTTGCAACCTTGGTTGTCTATTCTCTTTTGATATAACATATGCGATCCTCTTCTTTTTCTGTAGGCTGTCCATTCTGGTGCAGACCTTGAGTCGGCTATAGCAAATTGCATGGGCTACAGCGCTGAGGTAATGCAAATATGTTGGAACTACAGTTAACCCTTTCTCTGTAGCACTGAACTAAACTATTTATTTTTCCTCCAGGGTCAAGGTTTCATGGTTGGGGTGCAGATAAATCCTATTTCAGGGTTGCCTTCCGGATATCCGGTATCTTCCATCTCATCTCCCATTATTTCGAGGATTTAATATACCTTACAAATCAATGGAATTTACATGTTTTGGCACTACTCTTGACAGGACTTGCTCCGGTTTGTCTTAGAACATATCGAAGATAGAAATGTAGAAGCACTTCTTGAGGTGCGGTCTTTTTTATTTAGATTAATTATATGAAATTCTTCCCAGTATATCATGTGCATTTCCCAGGACAAACCCCTATTGGAATGTTGATGCAGGGTTTGCTTGAAGCACGTCAAGAATTAAGATCCCTGCTGCTGAAGCCCCGTGACCGTCTCAAGGATCTCTTATTCTTGGATCTTTCTCTTGATTCTACCGTCAGAACAGCCATTGAAAGAGGATACGAGGAATTAAATGATGCAGGACCTGAGGTAAATTTATCGATTTTCAATCATGATATGCTAAAATGTTAACTAATATTATTGTATGTATCAAAAGTTTAATATATTTTCATGGTTAATCATTCTTTTTTTAGTATTTTTGTCTCACAATGTTCTCTTGTTGCAGAAAATTATGTACTTCATCAGCCTAGTGGTTGAAAATCTTGCCCTTTCATCGGATGATAATGAGGATCTTATCTACTGCTTGAAGGTAAATGATCAACCACTAAAGTCGTTTTCCCAGAGGATATGAACCTTCTCTGATTTATACTTGTCTGATTGCTGAAATTATCTCACCATTTTTGCCAAAGAATTATTCGTAAACTTTTACTAATAAGATCTAGCAATCTCACCTTCTGTCAACGGGTCTGACTTAGTTTCGAGGTTCTTATGGTGTTTTTTGCCTGGAATTTAGATCCGCTGCTTCCTTCTTTTGACCATATGTTAGTGGTTTTCAAATGGATAAATTCCGTTTTTAAGAATCTGCTATGTTCTTACGAATTTAACCTAGATATTAGTTTTTCTCATTATTTCATCTATTATGCACGCGTATCCAATGTTGGTGTCAAACGATTTTGTTCACTGCTTTTGCAGGGTTGGCAATTTGCCATCAACATGTTCAAAGGCAAAAAAGAAAGTTGGGCTCTGTATGCAAAATCAGTTCTTGACAGAACCCGACTGGCACTTGCAAGCAAAGGCGAGTGGTACCATCAAGTTTTGCAACCATCAGCTGAGTATCTTGGATCACATCTTGGAGTGGATCAATGGGCTGTAAGTTACAGTTCCTGCGACTGTTATTATCTCGCATTCTCTTTTCCAAAGACTTTTTCATCCATATTTTAGTTTTTCCTCCCTGGAACAAGAAAAGAAGAGTTTAATTTTCTTGTAAAATACTTCACCAGGTTAACATATTTACTGAAGAGATAATTCGAGCTGGATCAGCTGCAGCATTATCGTCGCTTCTTAATCGACTAGACCCAGTTCTTAGGCAGACTGCTCATTTGGGAAGGTCAGTAAAAGCCGTTTTTGACAGATTGGTGTGACGTTGAAGGAACTTATATCTATCCATATATGGTAGTTGTGCATCATAACATCTGAGGTAGCTTTATTTTCCCTTGATCAGTTGGCAGGTTATAAGTCCTGTAGAGGTGGTCGGATATGTCACTGTTGTGGATGAACTTCTCGATGTACAGAATAAGACCTATAACAGGCCTACGATTATAGTGTCAAACCGAGTGAAAGGAGAGGAAGAAATTCCTGATGGTGCAGTGGCTGTGCTGACACCTGACATGCCGGATGTCCTATCTCATGTCTCTGTTCGAGCAAGAAATTGCAAGGTGATTTTTCACCGTGTGTTAAATTTCCTTTATGGTCATCCAACCTCATCTGAATGTTTTTTACACGCAGGTCTGCTTTGCTACGTGTTTTGATTCTGGTATTATGTCTGATCTCCAAGCAAAAGATGGGAAATTGTTGAAACTACAGCCAACTTCTGCAGATGTGATCTATAGGTAATCCTATTTACTTTTTCCTGAAAAATGAATGGAAATATCCTTCTTTTCGGTGGTCTTGTTTGTTTCATTTGAATTATTTTTTGTTCTTCCCAGGGAGCTAAGCGACAGCGAGCTTTTGAGTCCAGGTTCAGTGAAAACAAAAGAAGATGATGTTCCATCAACCATTACTTTGGTCAAGAAGCAGTTTGGAGGTAGATACTCCATATCCTCGGAGGAGTTCACAAGTGAAATGGTTAGTATGCAATGCCATTGGGGATTTTCTTTCTGTTCTTGTTTATTTTCTGTTTTATTGGTTGAAATTGTCTTTCTTCTGCATATAAAGAAGATGAAAGTAAAAACCTTTTGGATATGCACGGTTTCTTCGGTATACATGAATTACGGAGTGTGCATATGGTGACTCTGGGCAATACGTCGCTATGTTTTTTATAGGTCGGTGCTAAATCGAGAAATATCGGGTATCTAAAAGGGAAAGTTCCTTCATGGATTGGTATCCCAACTTCAATTGCCCTGCCATTTGGTGTTTTTGAGAAGGTTCTCTCCGAAAAGGCGAATCAGGTAGCAATGAATCCTCTTAATACCCATTCTGTCTCAACTAAAAATGAAAGCATTTAACGAAAATCTTCGTTTTGGATATCTTACTGGCGTAGCATATTTTATCTGGATATCCAGGCAAAAATGAAAACGCTTAACAGCCATTCATATTTTTATCTGAATCCTCTTAACGCCCATTCTTCCTCAAGTCAAAAAAAGTTGTCTAGGCCGCCTCTCCCACTTAAATAGGCTTTTCTGCGAAATCGCTTAGAATGATTTTACCATAATAAGGTCTTTGCCCAAACCATGGTGTATACATGATTAAGATTAAAATTTAAATGTCTACCATCAACACAATATATCATCTGAGACTTTTGCCTTTTTCTAACCAACCCTTCTCTGCCAGGGAGTCGCTGAGAAATTGCAAGTATTGAAGAAACGTCTTGAAGATGGGAACCATGGTGCTCTAAGGGACATCCGAGAAGCAGTTTTGGACCTGGTTGCACCCACAAATCTGGTAATGCTATATCCTATTTCCTGAACGTTGAGGGACGCTCGTCTATTGTTGTTCATGTGTGCTCTGAACATTGGCAGCAGTCAGTATATAAGTTGAAAACACGTACCATTAACTATTTTATGCTTCGCGGACATGCAGCACGTTTTATGTATGTATGTCACACGAGTCTCGCTTCTATGCTTGGTGCTTCTACTCCATTGCAAATGGCACACAATTGTGATAGTTTGTGTTCCTTTCTCAAATAATGTTTTGAAATGATGGTTTTATGATGTCTCGATGTTCAGGTTGAAGAATTGAAAGGAACGATGCAAAGCTCTGGAATGCCATGGCCTGGTGCTGAAGGTGAACAGAGATGGGAGCAAGCTTGGACTGCCATAAAGAAGGTCTGTACATTAAAACGCTGCCTAACTTGAAGATTTGAAGTTTACATCAAAGTTACACTGACTGATTTTGAGCTTTAAGGTCTGGGCTTCAAAATGGAACGAGCGAGCGTACTTCAGCACGAGGAAAGTGAGACTGGATCATGATTATCTCTGCATGGCTGTCTTGGTTCAAGAAATTGTCAACGCGGATTATGCATTCGTCATTCACACAACCAACCCATCTTCAGGAGATTCATCAGAGATATACGCCGAGGCAAAGAATACTACTTATTTCCCCCACTTTCATCCTGTCTCCTTCATTTTCTGGACACACACAAAAAAGCAATCACTCTTAATTTCTCCCCCAAATGTTTCTTCTTCCAGGTCGTCAAGGGACTTGGCGAAACCTTAGTAGGAGCATATCCGGGCCGTGCTCTCAGTTTCATCGCCAAGAAGAGCAACCTCGATTCCCCTCAGGTAACCAAGCAACATTCACCATCTATGCAACAAAACAGTATACAGTGGCAATGAAGATGTAAAAGATTGATTATTTTTTCTCACTGAACGAATTTAAACATCATTCAGGTGCTGGGATATCCGAGCAAGCCTATTGGACTATTCATAAGGCGTTCCATTATCTTCAGATCCGACTCAAACGGTGAAGATCTCGAAGGTTACGCTGGTGCAGGGCTCTACGACAGGTAATGAATACATTTATAAAAAGTAAACGTTGCATCGCTTCCTCTAACATCAAAACACATGTTCTTGTTGTAGTGTACCAATGGATGAAGAAGAAGAGGTCGTTCTTGATTACACAACCGACCCTTTGATCACTGACGAGAATTTCCAGAAAAGGATACTATCGAGCATAGCTCGGTCTGGAGATGAGATAGAGAAGTTGTACGGATCTCCCCAAGATATCGAAGGCGTTATCAGAGACGGGAAGCTCTACGTTGTCCAAACCCGACCCCAAATGTGAGACTGAACTCTTTGGAATCCTGTCAGTCAGATTCTCCAAAACGGTCTTCGGTAATAACGCTCCCTTTCCACTGAACTTTCTCTTGCACCTCTGTTTCTCTAAGGTGTCTTGCTCTTTTGATTTCCACTTCAAGTTAATACGTATTTGTGAAATGCAAGTATACAAACATGAACATTGAAAATACATACATACATACATACGGTATTACACGAATATTTGGTGTCGCAAAATTCTGTTTTTCTTTGTCGTTTGATTACTGTTGTTTGTTCTTGTTCGGACGAATTTCCATGGAACTGCAACAAATAAGGTTCCATAGGATATGGACCAAGGATCATGATGCCATTCTTTCTTTCGGGTACTTGTGTGTATTATTATAGCGAATGTGAAAAACAATAATAATAATAATGGTATATTATTTGGAGGATAGATTTATGGTAAGGTGGATAAAAGTTCTCGGATTTATCTCTCAAAAATTATTTTGATATACTGTTTGTTTGGATTTGATTTTGAGTTTTTCATTTCAAAACTCGTACATCTTAATATATAAGAATTTTTCAATTATTATATACGAATTTCCATTTACAGCAGTATCTCATTATATCTATTGTTATATTATATCTTTACCAGAAGAGAAAATGACATTTTCCTACACGAATTTATCAAAATGTGATATTTTTCTACACGAATTTTTAATTTGATAAATGTCTACACCCAATTAACAAATTTCCCAAATACCTACACGAATTATCCAATTTTAGTGCAATTAACTACACAATCCGAAATTATTAATTAATTGCTGACGTGGAAGGCCACGTGGCGGCCCACGTGGGATTTTTTGCCATGTCAGCACGAATTAAAAAAATAAAAATAAAAAATATAAATATATTTGTATGTATGCATATATATATATATATTTGTATAAAATTTAAATTTATACAATATATATATTTTTTAAAATTTATAAAAAAATAAAATTTATATACATACAAATATATAAATATATATGTGTATATTTATATATATATATATACAAATACAAATATAAACATATATATATACAAATATATATACATATACATACATACAAATATATTTACATGTATATGTGTATATATATAAATATATTTGTATGTATATATATTATATATATTTGTATAAAATTCCAATTTATACAATATATACTTTTTAAAATCTATACGAAATTTAAATTTATATACATACAAATATATAAATACATATATATGTTTATATATATATTTTTTATTTTTTATTTTTAGGAAAATTTTTATTTTTATTTTTTTAATTCACGCTGACATGACAAAAAATCTAACGTGGTCTTCCATGTCAGCAATTAATTGATAATTTCGGATTGTATAGTTAATTGACTAAAATTGGATAATTCGTGTAGGTATTTGGAAAATTTGTTAATTGGATGTAGACATTTATCAAATTAAAAATTTGTGTAGGAAAATGTCACATTTTGATAAAAATAAATTCGTATAGAAAAATATCATTTTTCCTTACCAAAACCTGCAAAACTACTTTTTGTATTTATTAATTTACAATATTTTACACATGTCTATATCCTTCTCTCAATTGTTTTTGCTTAAACTAGCTTTTTCCATGTCTACCTCCTTACCCTTTCCGGAGAATAGAGCTGGACCTGAGAATTCGAGCAGATTCCATGGGTATCCGTCTCGGGGTATCTAGAACATGAAAACCCGAACTTCTGCGAATGGTGAGCACGGTGCGCATTGTCCGACACACGCAAAGAAAATATGCATCTAAACCCGTAGTTTCATATGAAAATACGTAACTAAACTTCCGTTATCAATGTTTTACGCGGGAAAGAAAAGGGTATGCCCTGATTGAGTTAACTCAAACTTCCACCATATTTGGAAGCAACAGTAATCCTGGAAACAAGCTCCATCTCAGCAAATGAACACTAGGCAATATTAATCACACTGCAGCTTTTTTCCCATCCTCTGCATTTTTCTTTTACGTATGCAATTTGCTCCACTTTTGTGAATGTGCTGATTATCATGTAAAGGTGAAACTAATATTGACTGCCACCGCCATCCTTTCAACCATCAAGCCAGCCAACTTAAAACAACAGAGTTTGTGCACAACGCTACAGAGATATAGAGAAGTTAAAGTAGCCAACATGATAAAAGCAAAGCAGAGAACAATGCTTACTAGAAGCTTCACAGATGTATTGGAAGGTTGTCCCAAGTGAATTTCAGAATCTACGTCCTCCTCCTAGAGATCCAAACTCCTACGAAACCTGTAACATTTCAAACAACACCAAATCAACAGCAATGGGCAAGGCCAAAGAACGGCAGAACATACTGCTAACATGGTTGCAAAGAGCAAAAGATCTATCGTCACACTAATTCGATTTTTCCACTAAAATGACATCCATTGATTCGTTTCGGCTCTCTTCAATAAAAGAGATAATAAGCTTCCTGCATACAGTTTCTATCATCATATAAATCAGCTTCTCTTCGTTAAAAGCTTTTCACAGATTTGTTTAAACATTTCAAAAGCTTTCACAGTTTTCCTCGCAGCACGTCATTAGCTATGGCAAACAGTTCCTTGTTCAAAGCAAAAAGACGTGTACGGACATTGGAAATCTAATACCTGCTGCGATGAAAAGAGTAGCAGAAACTGGGACACATCATCCTCGAGGTGAATCGGTCTCTTTCGGACAAATGAACTCCCGGAATTTCGGATGATGAAATCTTAGGGCACTTTCGGACATCTGTTGATTCGCGCTTTCTCCGATTTCCCCATCTCCATGCGATCGAATCTCACTTGGACTTTTTCTCTGAACAAAAACTCCTCAGCTGAGTATGCCCTAATTTTGATATTTTTTCTTCTTCTTCATCTTCTTGCTAAATCCGTTTCTTCCGAATTTTGGGGTTTGAGAACGAGAAAACCCATCTCCTTGTATTAAGATTTTTTTTCTTATTAAAAAAAAAAGCATAACTTAATTCATTAAATCGAAAATTAATTAAGGAAGAACTGAATAAAATGAAAAAAAAGAATAAATTAATTCATTAAAACAAAATTCTCTCTCCTCATTTTAAAAATTTAAACCCTAACTTTTCCATTTGGAAAAGGAAACATTCATTCAAAACTTGAGAAAGAGATGGAAAATCTCCCCAATAAATACCCAGGAGCCGATGATGCTCTTTTACACACACACACGAACAACAACATCTTCTCTTCTTCCACAGATAGCCTCTTTTGTTTTTCTGATCTCAAGGAAAGGAGGAAGGATCAACAATGGCTCTCTCTGATTTCCGGCGCAAAATCTCCTCTGCGTTCCCAACGATCAAAGTGGAAGACTCTTTCGACAAAATCTTCAAAGACCGCAAACTCCGGAATCTCGTCATCGCCTACTTCTCCGCCACCGACTCTGCCTTAGAGTTTTACGAGAGCGCAGAAACTTTTCTGGGAAAAGCTAAAGATGACGAGAGAATCGTCGAGAAAGCACTTCGCGGATTCGGACAGGACGGAAGCGTCTCGAGCCTCGCAAAGGCCCTCGACCAATTACGGATCAGCTCTGATGATTTGATGGAGGAATTTGCCCGGAAGAGCAACGATTGTCGGAAGCACATCTCTAACCTGGAGAGGCTGATCAATTCCTCGCCATCATCGATCCGGTCAAGGCTTTCGAGCCTACTGTTGTTCCACATGAAGGCGATTCCCGCTCTTCACCGGCGTCACGATATGCTGGATTTGGTGGAGGGAGACGCCCACTCTTTCGTGTTCTGTTCCGAGATGATAGTCGCTCTCATACCTATGATCGGACTGACAAAGAATCGGATCAACGCGAGAATCGGGTTCGGGCAGGTGGAGAAGCTTGAGGGAGACGTCGAGATCCTAAAGACGAAGATCCAAACTTTACAGAAACTGACCAAAGATTTGGGAGACATTGCAGGGAATGGCCGTGTTCGTGTGCACCACAAGATCCTCGAGTTCATCCACACATGTGTCGTTTGATGTTTTTTTCAATTTTTACTTTTTGTTACAAATATCATAATATCATATCACTTGATCCACTGTCATCATTATTTGAAGAAAGGCAAGGACCTGAATTTCAGAGAGAGAGAGAGTGGGTCTAGTAAACGCTGAGAATACGTGTTGCTGTAATAGAATTTTTATAAAAAAAATAACACACCGGAAAATATAAAACTTCAACCACAAGTATTTCGGTTTAATATTTATATACATTTTCCTACACCAACTTTGCAAAATGTGACCTTTTCCTACACGAATTTTTAATTTAACAAAAAACTACACCAAATTATCAAATGTGCCAAATTGATACACGAACTACCCGATTTAACTGCAATTTTCTACACAATCCGAAAACGGTGTTAAGTGTTCGTTAACTGCTGACGTGGCATGCCACGTGGCGGCTGACGTGGCACGCCACATAGATTTTTGCCACATCAGCATGTCACGTCATATTTTAAAAAAAATTCCGAAAAAATATGAAAAAAAATCGATTTTTTTTTAAATTTAAAATAAAATAAATAAACAGCAAAAAAAAATATACATATATATTCATATCTATATACAAATAAAAATATAAATATATATACAAAATAAAAAACATACACATATATATACAAACATCTATACAAATATATATATACATATACATACAAACAAATATATTTATATATACATATACATATATAAACACATATATATGTATATATACATATGCATATACATACATACATACAAAATAAAAAAAAATCACACACATATATATATAT